ACCCTTATTGCTGTAGGGTTGGCACTAGAAGCTTTCTTGGGGCCCATGGTCACTTATTTTCCAGAAAAAATCACCAAAAACACTGTAATAATACGAAATGTTCCGATTGTATGCTTGGATGTTTACGCGGGGCTGGCTGGTAAACAATGCCACCGGCGGAACATGTGAGCGTGGCTCAGGCCGCACATTGGACGTGTCTCGGACGAAGGGCGTTGAGCGGGTTTTTGGGTGGTATGCGAGGCAAAATTTTTGCGATCAAAGCGTCCGGTATGCGGATTGTACGGTATGCGATGCGTCCGGTATGCGGGGGTCCACTGTATTATATATTTTTATATATATATTTTTATATATATATTTTTATATATATTATTTTTATATATATATTTTTATATATATATTTTTATATTATATTTTTATATATATATTTTATATATATATATTTTTATATATTATATATTTTTATATATATATTTTTATATATTATATATTTTTATATATATTTTTATTTATATATTTTTATATATTATATATTTTTATATATTATATATTTTTTGTATAATGTATTTTTATATATTATGTATTTTTACATATTATGTAGTTTTATATATTATATATTTTTATATATTATATATTTTTATTTATTATAGTTAGGAGAAGGTGCGGGATTACCAGAACTGTTGTCCAGAGGGCTGAGGAAGGGTTGTTGAGGTGGTTCGGACATGTAGAGAGAATGGAGCGAAACAGAGTGACTTCAAGAGTGTATCAGTCTGTAGTGGAAGGTAGGCGGGGTAGGGGTCGGCTTAGGAAAGGTTGGAGGGAGGGGGTAAAGGAGGTTTTGTGTGCTAGGGGCTTGGACTTCCAGGAGGCACGCGTGAGCGTGTTTGATAGGAGTGAATGGAGACAAATGGTTTTTAATACTTGATGTGCTGTTGGAGTGTGAGCAAAGTAACATTTATGAAGGGATTCAGGGAAACCGGCAGGCCGGACTTGAGTCCTGGAGATGGGAAGTACAGTGCCTGCACTCTGAAGGAGGGGTGTTAATGTTGCAGTTTAAAAACTGTAGTGTAAAGCACCCTTCTGGCAAGACAGTGATGGAGTGAATGATGGTGAAAGTTTTTCTTTTTCGGGCCACCCTGCCTTGGTGGGAATCGGCCAGTGTGATAATAATAAAAAAAAATAATTTTTATGTATTATATATTTTTATGTATTATATATTTTTATGTATTATATATTTTTATGTATTATATATTTTTATGTATTATATATTTTATGTATTATATATTTTTATGTATTATATATTTTTATGTATTATATATTTTTAATGTATTATATATTTTTATGTATTATATATTTTTATGTATTATATATTTTTATGTATTATATATTTTTATGTATTATATATTTTTATGTATTATATATTTTTATGTATTATATATTTTTATGTATTATATATTTTTATGTATTATATATTTTTATATATTATATATTTTTATATATTATATATTTTTATATATTATTATATTTTTATATTATTATATTTTTATATATTATATTTTTATATATTATTATATTTTTATATATGTATTTTTATATATTTATATATTATATATTTATATATATATTATATATTTATAGATATATATACAGTGGACCCCCGGTTAACGATATTTTTTCATTCCAGAAGTATGTTCAGGTGCCAGTACTGACCGAATTTGTTCCCATAAGGAATATTGTGAAGTAGATTAGTCCATTTCAGACCCCCAAACATACACGTACAAACGCACTTTCATAAATACACTTACATAATTGGTCGCATTGGGAGGTGATCGTTTTGCGGGGGTCCACTGTATATATATACAGTGGACCCTCGACTAACGCTATTAATCTGTTCCTGAGAGCTCATTGTTAGTCAAAATAATCATTAGTCAAGTTAATTTTTCCCATAAGAAATAATGTAAATCAAATTAATCCGTGCAAGACTCCCAAAAGTATTGAAAAAAAAAAATTTAACACATGAAATATTAATTTTAATGCACACAAACTGAAGAAGACATGCACAGTTACATGACACTTACCTTTATTGAAGATCTGGTGATGATTGATGGGATGGGAAGAGGGGAGTGTGTTGATGGTCTTTGTGTTTAGAAGGGGAATCCTCTTCCATTAGGACTTTAGGTGGCAAGTCCTTTTTCGGGGTTACTTCCCTTCTTCTTTTAATGCCACTAGGACCAGCTTGAGAGTCACTGGACCTCTGTCGCACAACATATCTGCCCATAGAGGCCTGTACCTCCCGTTCCTTTATGATATTCCTAAAGTGTTTCACAACATTGTCAGTGTCACCATTAAACACTTGTTCAGGTTTCAGTCCTTCACTGTCTATGTACTCCTTGAATTCCTGCACATATTTTTCAGCTGCTTTTTGGTCCAAACTGGCAGCCTCACCATGCCTTATCACACTATGTATGCCACTACGATTCTTAAATCTCTCAAACCAACCTTTGCTGGCCTTAAATTCACTCACATCACCACTAGTTGCTGGCATTTTTCTAATTAAATCGTCATGCAACTTCCTAGCCTTTTCACATATGATCGCTTGAGAGATGCTATCTCCTGCTATCTGTTTTTCGTTTATCCATACCAATAACAGTCTCTCAACATCTTCTATCATTGCGATCTCGGTTTCGAAAACATAGTTGCACCTTTGGCAAGAACAGCTTCCTTGATTGCCATTTTCTTGGCCACAATAGTAGCGATGGTTGATTGGGGTTTTGTGTACAGCCTGGCCAGCTCGGAGACATGCACTCCACTTTCATATTTAGCAATGATCTCTTTCTTCATATCCATAGTAATTCTCACCCTTTTTGCTGTAGGGTTGGCACTAGAAGCTTTCTTGGGGCCCATGGTGACTTATTTTGCAGGTGCAATCACTAAAAAGGCTGTGATAATATGAAATGTTCCAATTGTATGCTTGGAAGCGACCGCGGTGGCTGGCTGGCTTGTAAACACTGGCCAGAAGTGGACGCGTCTCAGACGGAACGAATAGTGTTGGTCGAGTTTTTTTTAGCTCTAATCGAGGCAAAATTTTTGCGATAAAATGTATCGCTAGTCAGATTTATCGTTAATCGATGCCATCGCTGGTCGAGGGTCCACTGTATATTTTTTTTTTTTTCAACAAGTCGGCCGTCTCCCACCGAGGCAGGGTGACCCAAAAAAGAAAGGAAATCCCCAAAAAGAAAATACTTTCATCATCATTCAGCACTTTCACCACACTCACACATTATCACTGTTTTTGCAGAGGTGCTCAGAATACAACAGTTTAGAAGCATATACGTATAAAGATACACAACATATCCCTCCAAACTGCCAATATCCCAAACCCCTCCTTTAAAGTGCAGGCTTTGTACTTCCCATTTCCAGGACTCAAGTCCGACTATATGCTTATATCTCACCCTAACTTCCTCCTCCCTTACTTTACTAAGGGAGGAGGAAGCATGCACACATCCAACAAACTACTTTCATTATGCACATCATATCTTGTATACTTGTTTATTCTCTTTTTTTTTAAATATGTATCACTTATTACCAAACCACTTTCTATACATAGTTCAATTAAAGTCCCCCATTTTCATTTAGCCCTGGCACCCTCAGACTTACCAACTACTGCCTCCATAACAGTTTTACCCACTTAACATTTGGGCTCCCCACCACAACTACTCTCACTTTGTTCAAAACTCCTGCATGCACTTGCTCACCATCTCCCAAAATTTTTCTCTCCCTCCCCTTCACTTCTCTCTTCTCCAGGTGCATAAAGACTTATTATATCTCACTTTTCACATCCGATCCTTATTTTACTTCACGTAATCTTTGAATTTATACACTTATATTCCCTCGTTTCGTACCTGACTGATCTTTCAACATTTTGCTGCTACTCCTTGAGCCCTGAATATTTGAAACCCCTGACTTAATTCTATTTATATCTCGCCACTGAAACTTTCCTACCCCCTTCAGCTTTGTTTACCTGAGAGCCAGGTCATCCAACTTCTTTTCATTCATGACATCCACAATCGTCTTATCATCCACACTACATCCACGCACAAACACTCCAACTTTAAGGTTTTATTTTTTGTAAGCTGTACGGGAAAAGGGGTTACTAGCCCATTGCTCCTGGCATTTTAGTCGACTTTTACGACATGCATGGCTTATGGAGAAAAGATTCTTATTCCACTTCCTCACGGATATGAAAGGAAAAATAAGAACAAGAACTGTTAAGAAAAAAACAGAAAACTCAGATGAGTGGGTGTACATAAATGTGTATATGCATGTGTAGCGTGACCTAATTGCGAGTACAAGTAGCAAAATATACCTGTTATCTTGTGTTTTTATGAGTTAGAAAAAGACACCAGCAGTCCTACAATCATGTGAAACAAGTACAGGTTTCAGTCTTGCACTCATTTGGTAGGACAGTAGTACTATTATATTTGATCAAAAAGCAACAGAGAATCCAGACTTCTCCTGAGCACTTGTAATTCAAAAATCCATGTTTAAGAAAATGATTTCACTTGACTCATTTAGTGTTACAGGTGTCAGCTTATATTTAGAAACAGTTATGTGCATTCTTTCTCTTATGACATTTAGACTTGTTAATGTTTTTCCCAAGAAAATGGTTTTTGATATAATTTCATGAAATTCCAAACTATGATTGACTAGGACAGTTTTTGTCTGTTCTACCTTGGAATTAAACAGCAGAAGTGGAATGAATATGATGGACCTATGCTTAGCTGTATTGGAAAATCACTGCTGCTAGGGGAAAAAAAATGATAGGCAGGATGTAAAAGAATCTTTAAAACATCCTAATAAAAACCAATGATAAGACAAGCTCTGGACTCCAGTATTACTGTACACTCTCCAAATTTTATGACACTTTGATTCAAAATTTGCTGGGATCCTTTAGAAATTTTAAAAATAGCAATTCTTATGAAAAAAAAAATCTTATGTTTCAGACGCCTCTGTGGAGTACGTGTGAAGGTAGAGATGTCAACAGGACGTTCTCGCCGTGACCGTTTCCACTCTCCTCCACGTCGAGGTGGCGGTGGTGGAAGGAGGTCCAGGTAAACTTACCACTTTTTGTTGTATAGTCTTACATAAGTGCATTTCAAGTAATTAAGTCATGCTTACCTAGGTTAGGGTTTTTGTCTATAGTATTATATAGCTTTTGGCACAAATTTTTTCCAAGGATATAATTGCTATATTTTTAATTAATAAAACAGTCAGTGGAAGTTGATTGTGAAACTTTCTTCCCATTAATCTCAAATTTTAAGGTTGGTGGAAGCTTGCTATAAACCTTTGTGTGGAGGAAGCTAAGTTGTGGTTACAGGTTGGTGACACACTCTTGATAAAGTTCTCAAGAGTGGCAGCTTACTGTATATGGTGATAAAACGCTACAGGCCACATTGGTGGATCTTAGTGTCTTAGGAGTTTTCACCTAACATAATTCATTTACTTAAGGTTTTATGGGGTTGGGACTCTGTCTTCTATAATTTTGAGTTTTATTTATCTTTATTTAGTTATAAGCTCTTAAGCATGCAGTTTGAAGTTGAAGAGATATTTTCTATTCTTTCTCAAATGATTATAATGTCATCAAAATAACAGCTCATTCATTTTGAGCACAAGAAAACTTGTATTTGAAAAATATATGTTAATTGTGGTGTGTGGCCCATTTACAGGACTATCTCGCCCAAATTACTTCTTGTACCACCACCACCACCATCTACTCCTCCTACTGTTGCTACCACACCACCACCACCACCACCACGAACTCCACTACCACCACCACAAGTACTTCCACCACCACCACCACCATCACCACCACCACCACTGCTAGCAGCAGCATCAGCCCGCTTGTACAGTGGGCTTCCAGTATTGGGTTGTAGGGGATGTTGGAGTTCCTTTTGGGGGCTCTTCCTATTCATCACCTGATCCCAGACTGGTGATACAACTTGATACATGACATGATGGATCAAGTATTTCTTTGGTTGTTGAAGGGCAAACATTGCACCTTCATGGTCAAGGAGTTGCATGGTATGCCAGTTCTGGGTAAGGTGATGAACCCTATTCAGCCAAACCTGGCAGAGGTGGTGGTGTGCATCACGTTGCCTGATGACCCTCCTACGGCGCGGCACCTCATGGCACCCGGGCAGCCCTTAAGCGCTTCACGTGTCCTCTTCTCCCCGCCCATCTGCGTCTACCCTCCGCCCATCGCCCGCCCGCTGCCTGCGCACCGTCAGGCCTGCCCCCCCACCCACCATCTTGGGTCTCTGACCCTCCAACGCTCGCTCCACTTTCTTACATACATCGCGCCTCGGCTCATCATAACGACCATCCTGCTGTGACGGTACACCACTCAGTATTTGGCAATTTGATCAGTTGTCACAAACTACTAGTTTGTGATAATCAATCAAGTGTAGGTATGCATCCTGTCATTATGGATGATGATACCTTGAGGAGTGATTGTTCACCTGCACAAGTTTCATTTGTTGTATTCTTGCCTGGAACATTTGAATCTGTAGCAGGGTACTCAGGTTGTTACCCAGGTGGTTTGTGGGAGAGGGCTGGACAGCATTATAAATTTTGCAGCTGTTCACTTTCCATGGCACAGGATTTTGGATATTGTAGTATAAAATGATTTTCCTTTGATCCTTCTTAAACAGAAAATTGAATTTCTTTTACTAAAGCAGTGTTCGTGTTACACGAAGTGGTTACGTCCAAGAACATATTGATGAAAAGTTTTATTTAAAGAAGAACAGTTTAATAAATATTTGGTCATTTCAGATCTCGCTCTCCACGGCGCTTTGGGGGGGGTAGAGGGCGCTCTCGTTCCCGGTCTCCAAAAAGGTCACGTTCTCGCTCTCCAAGGTTTGTATCGTATACATCTACTGTATATTGAAGTTTGCTAATGTTTATTAGGAAGCTGCTTGACGAAGAGAAAATTTTTTTTAAGTCTTCAATGAAAATCTGTGGGTGAGACTTGTGTACAAAAAAAAAAAAAAAATAGGCAAGAGAAACTGCCCTTCATAGAATTGTGGGTACTATGATACAGACTTTTGTGTTTAATTTTCTTGTCGGGTGTCTTATTTTATCAAGAAAATGAGAAAAGCTAAATGTAGTGAGTGAAATGTGTGTGCCCACATGTATTTGTAATACGTATATTCTTAATTATGCCTAGTAATGTGCAAGCTAACCTCGCCAAAATCTAATCATGTCTAGATTTTGTTGCTGATAGACCCCCTATCCTTTTCCCTGCTCCAGTTTGCACTAAATTTACTTTTCTAGTTTTGCAAATTGGTGGTAAATTATTTACTAATTGTTGCAGTATGGATGTGTGGGCATACACAGACCACAACTATACCCACTTATTAAACAAGTCATCCGAATTTGTAATCCTCCATTTGGCCGGATATTTTTGAACCCATGGGTTTTCAACTTCGTTTTGATATAACTGCATTCCTTCTGTGAAGATCCAAGTATGGCACTACTGAATTGCCTAAACTACGATAATCACTCCAATAGTGTTTCTCATTATATATTGTGTATTGCCGATTTCAGTTTATTTGTACTGTATACCACATGCCTTGTTCCATCACCCCAGCCCTGAGGATATCCACATAAAAATTTTAAGGTGCAAGTAAGGAAAAAAATGAGGAAATGGTAAAACTCATCATTATGTATGTAGTTCACAAAACTGCCTTATTCGTGATTAATTTATACCATAGTATTTTTAACTCGATCTCCTATTGTACAATGTTTACTTTTAAATACCTGTGCATTACACATGACAGCTGTCAGAACTTGATCATTCACCTTGCAAGTCTGCATGCTGAGGTCTGACTTATTGCTCAGAGTTTTACTGCATTTTGCATGTATTGTGCACTTTGTGCATCTGTAATTTGAGGTACTCTCCAATCTGTAGTAACACAAAAGATGAGAGAAAACCAGTCTGCCTTTTTACTGTGAAGAAAATTTCAACTGATACAAGGCAACAAGAGTAGCTCATTTATTTAATGAGCAAGTGAAAATAAAAAAAGAGCTCAATGTGATTAAGGAAGAGCCATGTGAGATCTCAGGACAGTAATGATGATGGCAAGATAAGTTTTTTTTTTTTTTCCTTCTTCCAGAAAGTAGTGTTTTGACACTACAACCGAGAAGAGGTAGAAAATGAACCAAAAAATTACCATCTTTCAGGCATCTGCATCACTGAAGAATTGTATGCTTTACATTTGTGGGTTGTAGATTCATGCAATTGTAGATTACCAGGGATTTAAAAAAAAATAGCATTAGGCTTTTCATTGTTACCAGCCGTCATCAGTTTTGGAGTTGAATCTTCTCTACTAGTTTGGTGAGTGTATAATTATTTCCACTGATTTAAGCTACCAGTTAGTAGCATATTTTTCATGTAGGTGGGTGGGGGGAGCAAAAAATCTATATACAGTAAACCCCCACATGTTTGCATGATTACCATTTCCTGATACTCTTTCAGGCCAGCAAAGTACACAATATAGGAATGCTATTATCCCAAGGTATGTGGGACCCATTTTATTTTTCCAGTGTGCAAGTGACTGGTGTAAAGCTTTTATACAAGGTCTGGCCTAAGACAGGCCTAGTATTGTGCATCAAGAATACAAAAATATAATTGAAAGCTTAATTTTGTATAGAGCAACTTGAATAGATCAAACTTGTTGCATTATTTCTAATGTACTAAAAATGTTAATTCTAATATTTTTCTGTCCTTAACTGGGAGAATACCCCTGTACTCCATGAAAATGGGGAAACTGAATAATTAAAAAACTTTGAGCCATAAAAGGCAAAAGACAACACGTGGCAACAGCCAACCACAGTTTCTTCAGTGTCAACCAATCACAGATGACCAGGCTAGAGGTGTTCGTCTATGTACTACTTAGTTTCATCTTGGGTAGATAGTCTATTAAAATCAGAAATGACCCTGTTGTTTCTCACTTTTTTTATTTATTTATTTATAGTTCATGAAGGCCAACATCTCTCATTTTCTCTTAAGCTTGGCAAAAAAAAAAAATTTGATGGAGGTGCTGGATACTGAAGCATGGAAAGTAAATGAGCTGTAAAAATTTTGTACATGATTCGTGACTTTTAAGTGTGATGTGTATCTTATGAATTTAAAAATGTTAATGTTTTTTAATTATAACTATACAAGTGCAATAAGTGTGAGGTGTACCCACCTACACATCCAAATTCTCTACCACTGACATCTATTTATTCTGGTAAGTGCATAACATTACTCTTTGTACTCTTTTTTTTTTTTTTTTTTTTTTTTTTTTTTTTTTTTTTTTTTTTTTTTTTTTGTGTATTTATGTAGTTTATAACATGTAAAGGTAAAAGTATTTTATATACTAAATTAGCCTGAGTTAATTTACCAACAACAGGAGATCAAGGGACCTGCATTTGCCTGCAGTGATTTCTGATGTGCACCATGTTGGTTAACTTGTTGAATCTGTCACCATTCTGTGGGAATTTATCAATTTTTTATCAATAGACGGTAGAAAATTACCTTGAATATGGAAAATTCCATATAGGCTCTAGGTTGTCTGCAAACTTACAGGAAGTTAAAACTTTAAATAGCTTTTCTGTTAAAATATAAATAGTGGTAAAATAGATTGGGGTATTTGGTAAGTGTGAACTCTTGATATGCAACTACTTAGTACAAGTGAGTTAGTTGGACCTGTAAATGTTCCTACAATATTCACTTGTATCCCTGTAAAGTAAATGTAAGTTTTCCCAATGTTATAATTTACTTAACATTTTAGTTTCCTGGAAACGTATGTAGGAGCACCTTGGAGACGTATGAGGGTTTACTGTATATTTTCTTAGGGTAATTTATTGTCAGCTAAGGTAAAATAGGCCTAGGAATATAATGCTAGATTAACCTCTTATTATCAAAAGGTCATTGTGAGGAAATTAATTCTTTGAAGGTGCCCTGCAATACTTGGTGTAGCTAAAAATATGTAATTGTTGCTTCTAACCCTCTATATATAAATGTTTAATGTATAATCTGAATGGAGAGGCAAGTTATAAATCAGTGAACAATGTGGCTAAAGCATTCATGCAGCAGATTAAACTTAAGGCTTCATTTTTTTTTTTTTTTTTTTAAGTTAGGAGATGATCCACCCTTTAAGAGTGCATACTTTTTAATTTAAACTTTGTCACTATATGAGTACAGTGTTTTTGTTAGCAAGTGCTAAATAAGAGTAACAAAAAAATTCTTTAAAGTAATTTAAGATGAAAATCTCGATAGTTTTAAAATCTCTTGTGGCCCAATTAGGGGTCTTGCTCTATTGTTTGAGGGGATCACTGTTTTAAGGATGCAAGGCTTATCAGTGGGAGAAGATAGATGGCTAATTGCTGAACATTGGTTTGACAAGGGTCCCTCTAAAGGGGAGGCTTCAGCTCCCACAATATTACTCTTGATCCCTCCCCCAGCCTCTCAAATAAAAAAATGGTAATGCTGCTTCAAAACATGCCTCCTGGCCACCCTTCCAATCAGATAACCACCCATAAGCCCCCATTTAATTATATTCATTACAGCTGATAAATTAGACACGTGCAACATTTGGGTATCGTTAATGAGGAAACGCATCGCCACACAGTGGCTTCATCAGTCCATACAAAGAATGGCAAAGAACAGGAGAAGTTTGAGGTAATCAGTCCCTCAGCCTTGAGTTGATGTGATCAGTCCATCAATCTTGGAAAGAATACAGCATATGTATGAAGAAGTGGCTTATATATTGTAGGCAGGAGAGGTGCTGCAGTCATAGGTGGTATCACATTTGATGAATTTGGAAGTAGGTGATACCCAAGGGTTAGGCAAGTTGAAGAATTTCCTGTATTAAGATCCCAAGATGTTGCTGTGTCAGACAGGAATGTAGATTCATCTACATTCATTACAGCACAGCTGCCTCTCTACTGTAATGAATATAATTAACTCAGTTGTAGGTTAACAAATGGACCACTTGGGATTGAGAAATTAGTGAAAAGGTTAGTTGTTCCTAGAAGAGTTGTACAGTTTGTTTCCTTATCTGTAGCTTTCAAACCTAATTGGCCAGTAGGTTTTATTCTGCATTTGTTACTTTATTTGAAAGTTATTGTCATGCCCAAGGCATCAGTTACCATGTACAATAAGATGTTACTTATAGCACATAATACTTTATGCTGGCTGTTGAGACTGCAGTTAGCAATGCCTACTTTTTTGTTCTTTGGAAAATGACAAACCATCAAGGGGAGAAAACTGGTTTCAAGAAAATGTTTGACTTTAAATTAAAAATATTACTAAAGCAGTACAATGCTAGACAAACAGTTGTTTATACATGCAGCACTCAATATTGATTAGGTCAGTCTACTGAAAGTACTGGAAAACATGATGGAAGTCAGTAAGGGGTGATCAGCAGTCAGGTAGGGAAGTAGGTGTTAGTCTTGTACCTAACAATCATTTTATCAGTAGTATTGCCTTTTTAAACACTAACTTGTATATAATGTGCTGAGTAAGGCTAAGAAATGAAATTAACATTATAGTGGACCCTCGAATTTCGTAATTAATCCGCTCCAGAGAATCTGACGAATGGAGAAACCATTTTTCCCTATAAGAAATAATGTAAAGCCAATTAATCCGTTCCAGATGCCCAAAATTATTAACTTTTTGACTGTTTCGGCTGTATATGTATGTCTTAGGAGCCAGTGTTTTGGACGTATGTATACTCGGTAATTGTAGCAGCTTCAAATCAAGCGGGAGAAAGCTGGTAGGCCCACATGTGAGAGAATGGGTCTGTGTGATCAGTGTACACTGTAAAAAAAAATCCTGCAGTACTCGGTGCATAATGAGAGAGAGAACT